ACCTTACACGAAATAGGGTGAATACATCTCATTACACTGATTTACTGGTAGTCTCGAAACCCTACTCTAGGAAAGAGTACCATTGGGACTAACCTTTTCGCTCTGGATGATCGGTTCTGAATTGGTATCATTACTACTTTTCTTCGCTACCTCATCCCCTTCCCCACACTGAATTGTTTCAATATTATGCTGTGTCGAACTGGCAGACAAACTTTCACGCTGTAAGGTCTCGATTGTTACCCCACTAACAGCAGCCGAGGAATTAGCGGGAACTCCAGAATCATCTGTCTCCATGGGCTCAGTCTTGTCGCTCGTTTTCGAAGCATCATCGATCGACGTGGCGGCGCTCTCGTCACCTTGTCTCCCGGTGTTGGGCGTTGACTCTACGCCTGCATTGCTGGAGGTGGTTATGGAACCATTTGTAACGATTGGCATTGTGTAATCCCCAGATGGAGCAGTGTTGTCACCGCCAATACATGTGCCTGTAGCAGAGACAGAAGCCAATGAGATTGTAGGTGTTGAGGCCGCAACAATGGCAACAGTTGGGGTTGAAATTCCTGTGTCTTCTGGGCTAGGTTCTTTCGCGACTCCGTTGTTGCCGTCGGCTAGTGGATCACCAGCCTCAAAGGCCAGGTCAGAGTCAACTTCGATCAAAGTGTCAGGAAGGCTGTAGCGACCGTTGATTTTCTCGAATTCCTGAACCTGAGCATTAAATCAGAATGTAAATTTTATTCAGCAATTAAACCTCTAATCTCATATAATAAGTTAAATGGGAAGGATTCATTAATTGTCTCGACAAGAACTGCTTATTATTACTAAAAAGTCAAAGGCGCACCATCCGTTGACCTATGTGAATCCAAGCTAAGACTATGTATGTCATTTCGCAGTCATGTTCAGAAATTTGCCAAAGATTAAAGGGAAAATGGTGACTAGCTGTAATTCCACCCACTGATGACAACTTAATTTTAATATCTTAACGAAAAATGTCGCGATTTAGCACTATATATATATATAAATATAGCACTGCAAAGAATGAGCTGGAGCGGGAATGAAGTTATAAAAGAGCTAATCCTTGTTGTATAATAGGATTGAGGGGGAATGATTAACCGCGGAGTATTACGAATCTTGTTAAGACCCTTAAAATCTGAATTTACTCAGCAATGTGCACAAACCAAACGCATATGCAGCATAACGCTAGAACTCACGTTAGTATTAAGATGGCAAATTTAAGTTACAAATATAGAGCAGTGAAGGAGTCCAACATTGTTAAGTGGATTTTGTTTTGCTTCACGCTCCGAAAGTCTGTAGCATAATAAACGAAAATTCAACAGTGAACTATCGTGGATCAAACCGACTTATACAACAGCACATGCGGAAGAGGAGAAGAGCGGCACGGGTAGGGGATGGAAAGCAATAGATATCCTAGAGATAGACAAGACATCATCACAGTGATAGAATCCAAGTTCTAGTTGAGATGAATGTTAGGAACTTTCCACATGCGATTCCATAAGGTATAGAAGCGAATATGGCGCGTAATGATAGCGCAGGAGAACGAGTCAGACAATTGCCTCAAGAAAGACGGGGCTCTGAATAAGGTGAGATGAGTCAAGATTTACTTCATATTAAATTCTTGCGTGGTTTTAATTTCGGCCTCTGATTGTTAATAGGTGTAATGCTAAATACGATTATTGAAAGAGAATTAAGCGTATTTACAAGTGGCTTTTGTTTAAAATGGATTTACAGGAATGACTGTGAATAAAATGTAACAAAACTAGGAGTAACGATTAAAATGAATAGGGATAAGTCCCTATATTTATATATAATAATAATAATAATAAAATAAATGCACAGTTAGTGAGTATGCCTCAAGCTATCGATGAAAATAGAAAAAGAATAAGATTTGAATAAAACAAGCAATTCTGATAAGGAAATGAAAAGAGGAGATTAGAAGCAGAATAAAGCTAAGGCAGTTTAATAATTAAGGAAAGAATAAAAAATAGAAAAAAGATGAAAGAAAGCAGAAAAATTTAGATTTAAATAATTGCAGGAGCAAACACAAAAAGTAAGATAAGGATGAGAATCATCATGATATAAAGGAATGTTAAAGAGAAGTGCCTACCTTCTTTCTAACTAAAGCCATAATGCCAATTCTTGTAAGTATATGCTGATTAGACTGTCCCTCACGTGGGACGCCATCGCTGAAGTTCTCAGCATTTTCAGTCTCCGGCTCGCATAGGTGACGCATGAATAAGTTGATGTAGGCACGCAATACCTTTTCCGATTTTCCCTTAAGATCACGAACATTCCAAGCCGAGAGTACACTTTGATCGGTAGGCGGGAGGCCGTACCTAAAAGCAATGATAAATGAGAGAGAGAAAGATAAGATAGGCAATGAGAGGCCTGTGAGGCAAGAAAAATACACTATTTATATTCATTTAGTGGGCTTTGAAACTACTATTTGCCTCGCGCCCATACACCATACACCTTCAGTAGATATGAAAAGAATATTGAATTGGGGGAATCTTCAGTTTCGTTGAAAAGTGCATATAGAGGGAATTCGTAAATTGACCCCACCGAAGACAGAAATTGTGGCTGTGGATGTATGCATCGGATGTCTAGTGAAGTGGATTGTGTTGTGACCAAAAGGTTGTTTTCCCATCAAAAGATTGTACAATTTTGGTCATGCAAAGTTGGTGTGTGTACTTGTGCTCACCAGCACTTGCGTTGTGTGCGTCATGCTCATGAGTGAGAAGACGTCGGAATAATATTAAAATGAAAAAAATGACCACGGTTTAGAATCAAATCTTATATGCCGACCTACCTCATCACAGCATTTAAGAAGGAGCGGCGTTGACGTGAATTGAAGCCGAAAACTTCAAGTTGTCCGTTGACTCGAGATAAGAGTGGTGGCATTTTGCCCTCGCGCTCACGTCGAAGACGCCGTCCAGTAACGAGAGTATCCCCAGCATTACCAGCTTGTCGTTCATCATACTCCTCATCATCTTCATCCTTTGCCGACATATAAAATGCGAAAATTAAATAAATTTTCCAAAACACTAGCATGTCATATTTTTGAACGTGCATAATAAAATTGCCACCTAAGAGACATATTTAACCCAAATGACACCATTAAGGATAAAGAGAAACAAGAACCAAAATTAGTAAATAAGTAACTGGCCCTCGAAGAAGCTCTTAAAAGAATGATACAGGCACACCTTTTCCCTCGTTTGGCCTCATTGGAAGCCGAAAGATGTGACTAAATTTGTGTGAATAAGTCGTAGGCACACCGTCCCGAGACCAGGATAATTTCGTAGTGAACTTTCGTCTACTAAATGAGAGAACCCGTCTAAGAAGGAAAGCAATCAT